AGGAATAAATGGAAAGGATCGGGGGTGGGCCTTTTGACTTTAACCTTTTCAGTCAGAGTTCACTACCAAGTGAACTTTTGGCCTGGGAGGGCAAAACTTTTGCCCTTTCTTCAAAATTAAGTCAGAACATCAAATACATTAATTTTTAAAGATCATGACATGTATATTTGCCTTAAACTTGTAGAGCTCACTGTTGTATCTCTGGAGTCACATGACTGCTATAGGCCCTATAGATAGTTACATTCATGTTAGATTAGTACTAATGTTCTAACATGGAAATTAGGTGGATTTAATAAGCTGAAAGCTGGAGTTTGAGTTTCAATTTTTAGATTTTGAATTCTTAGTTATTACATATTGGCAGAGCAGATAAGATTAATGAGATTTATTTATGTTTACCTTCATTTTATTTAAATTATATGTATTTATTATTTGTAAGGTTTATAAAATTGATTATTATGTATTGGTGAAGCAGATAAGATACATGAGTAGGGTTGATATAAAAGAAATGGGAATAAAAGACAGTGAGGTGAACCAAATGTTACCATCCATTTTGATTAGCTCACACTTGACCAGTTCACCAAAACGAAGAGACAATTTTATTGTATTACTGTTTCTTCAGGCTTATGATGCAAACAGAAAAACAGAAAACTCTTGCCCTGTGTCTCTCCATGAATGCTTTTTTAAAATCAGGCAAGCGCAGAGTTCTTATATGTTGTCCAGTAGATGGCAGCATCTGTTTAAAATGCATTCTACTTTGAAGAAGTCACTTGTAGATGTTACAGCCAGACGTTTTTGGACTTGAACTTTAACACACATGTATAAACATATCCAAATCTACTTTCTACTTTGATTCTTATTTTTTCCCTTTAAAAAAGTGAAAAATTCTTAGGATGAGTATTCTTCTTTCTCTCTCTTTTTTTTTTTTAAAGAATGTTTTTTTTTAATATATTTTATTGATTTTTCACAGAGAGGAAGGGAGAGAGATAGAGAGTTAGAAACATCGATAAGCTGCCTCCTGCACACCTCCTACTGGGGATGTGCCCGCAACCCAGGTACATGCCCTTGACCAGAATCGAACCTGGGACCTTTCAGTCCGCAGGCCGGCGCTCTATCCACTGAGCCAAACCGGTTTCGGCATCTTCTTTCTCTCTTTAAGTCATTCCTTAATTTTTTATTTAAGAGTAACTTGACAGACTTTGGACTAGTGTCAGAATGGCACTTCCAACCTGTTTTCCAGCCCCTAAAGCACAACATACATCCTAGTCCCCTTCTCACATCACAAATAGCCAATAGCAAAGAAAAGAAAAAAAATTTATATTTGCTGTTGAGTTATTTAATTTTATTTATAGGCACTGAACACAAATGAGGACTGACTCTAAGAGAAAGATAAAAGCCAAACTAAATTTTTTTTATCATATTTTGACTTTATAACACAGTTAATAACCTCAAGTTTACTGAGATTTTTGAAGTAGACAATATTAGCACTTCTAGAGATTTTGGTAATATTTTAAAAGTCTATCCCATCCATATTTTTGAGGGATCACTTTTAAGTTTTTCTAGAGAATGTTGTGAAAATCAAAACTTTTTATGAGTTTCCCTTCGTTTTTAGCATTTATCTCATGGACAGATAGAATTCGATACTCTGAGACAGATACATCCAGTGATAGGATGTTTGTTATTGGTGTTTTTCATAGAGGTTATACTTTTTTGTCTTTGTGGCCTCTTGTGTTTCCAAATTTATAAGTGTGTGTAAAGACACAACATCAACATATTAATTAATCCTGCCTCTCAAAATCTGTTAATACCTCTTTTGAAGTGCTTTTCTGTGAAATTCAGGTATGTGATACTCCTGCTGCTTTTGGATGTTATGATTAAATATTCCAAGAAAATCTGGTAGTCTCTTTCTGCTCTGATTTGCAGAGGACTGAGGGAGAAAATTATATAACTGTGCTAATACAGCTAAGGAAGTTTGGGTTTTAACCTCTGTTGGATTCTCAGTCCTGCCTAGCAATTTCTTTTGCAGTCCCCAAAGTAGCTATTCCAAATAGTTACTATGCATTTAACCTCCTATTCTCTTTTGCAAGCTCTTCACTCTGGAAGTCTTACTGTCCAGAGAAAATGGATCAAGTAGGTGGGAATCCTTTCCATATTCTTTCTTTTTGTCCCTAAACTGCACTCTAATTGTGCTCCTCCACCTCCCTTAGATGCACTTCTAGAAGGTGAAAATCAATAACATCTCATTCTTTTTACCCTGCCCCTGACTCCTGATCCATGAATCACTCAGTCTCTCACCTGGAGCTTCACCCTCTGTCCTTTCTGGCTCCTTCCCTTCACTTTACCATGCTTAAGTCTTCTGATCCTAAAAACAGAATCAAAGAGCCATCAAATCAACGGAACATACATATGAAACCTTCCCCCCTCAGTTCTTCATCCTACTCCCAAACATACCATTCAATTTTCTTCCTCTCCTTAAAGGTCAGACTTCTCAAAAGAACTTACTGGTGCTCCCTGGTCAACTTCCAACATCTTAATTTCTCAGTGTTATGTATTTTCTCCTATACTTTATCAGTGATCTTCCTAAATTCTCAATCTAGTGACACACTTCCAATATTTTTAACTTGTATTCTTTATTGTTTAAAGTATTACATATGTCTCCTTTCCCCCCCATTGACCTCTCCCCGGCCGCTCCCACCTCCCAGCATATGCCCTCAGCACCCTACTGTCTATGTCCATTGGTTATGCTTATATGCATGCATACAAGTCCTATGGTTGATCTCTTACCCCTACTCCCACCCTCCCCTTCCTTCCTTCTGAGGTTTTGAAGGTCTGTTCGATGCTTCTGTGTCTCTGGATTTATTTTTGTTCATCAGTTTATGTTGTTCATTATATTCCACAAATGAGTGAGATCATGGGATATTTATCTTTCTCTGACTGGCTTATTTCACTTAGCATAATGCTCTCCAGTTCCATCCATGCTGTTGTAAATGGTAAGAATTCCTTTCTTTCTTTCTTTCTTTTTTTTTTTAACAGCGGTATAGTATTCCACTGTGTAGATGTACCACAGTTTTCTAATCCACTCATCTACTGATGGGCACTTAGGCTGTTTCCAAATCTTAGCTATTGTAAATTGTGCTGCTATGAACATAGGGGTGCATATATCCTTTCTGATTGTTTTTCTGTTTTCTTGGGATATATTCCTAGAAGTGGGATTACTAGGTCAAATAGAAGTTCCATTTTTAATTTTTTGAGGAAACATCATACCGTTTTCCACAGTGGCTGCACCAGTCTGCATTCTTACCAGCAGTGCACGAAGGTTCCTTTTTCTCCACATCCTCATCAGCACTTGTTGTTTGTTGATTTGTTGATGATAGCCATTCTGACAGGTGTGAAATGATACTTCCTTGTTGTTTTGATTTGCATTTCTCAGATGATTAGTGACTTTCAGCATGTTTTCATATGTCTCTTGGCCTTCTGGTATGTCCTCTTTCGAAAAGTGTCTATTTAGGTCCTTTACCCATTTTTTGATTGGATTGTTTATCTTCCTTTTGTTAAGTTGTATGAGTTCCCTGTAAATATTGGAGATTAAACCCTTATCGGAGATAACATTGGTAAATATAAAAACTCTGAGGGCAAGGATGCAAGGATTTTTGTTGTTTTTGTTCATTGATCTGTCACAAATGCAGATGGAAACCAGATGAGAATAGAGTTACAGTAATCTAAGGGAGGAGGGAATCTCAAGACAGAGGAGTAGTGGTCAATTGTATAAAATGTAGAGGCATAATCTAAAAGTATTTATGAGAGTTTGCATTGGATTTATTAACTAGGAGGTTATTTGTTACCTTTGTGCGAGAAGTTTTAATAGAGGAGTAGGGGCAAATAAGATTACTAAGTGTTGAAGTGATGATAGCAATTGTAGACTCTTTAATTTTGTGAACAGTATAGGAGGAAAAGTTCATACATATTTACTTGGATAATTTGTGGTTCCTCCTTTTAGAGGGTTAATAGATGGATGGTTAGGTAGCTGGACTTTCCTGTTTTACTCACTCTTTTATTTATTTAGTGAATACTTTATGCCAAAAACT